GGCTTATCTATGATGCTGTCGGGCTACACATGTGGCTAGAGTGAGGGAATTTTTTGTATTGAAAAGTTTTAAAAGATTCAAAATAATTAACTAAAACAAATATATTTTAGAGAAAATATCTTTTTATCATTTATTTTTTACTTTTATATCTAGTGAAATCTAAAGATTGAAAATATTACTTGTAAGTAAAATGTCTCCATCTTACCCCATAGACCTCTTTGATTATGTATTTTTGATCCAAAAAATACTAAAATGACAGCCTCTTTAAAATTTTTTTTTTCTGTTAACGTTTTCTCTTTCTCTCAAATCACAGTCTCTATGCAATTTTGGATTTTAGAGAGAGAGGGATGGAGTTGAGAGAGACGGTGATTTAAGAGAGAGAAAACGTTAATGGAAGAGACAAAAATTTGGAGAGTATATCATTTTAATGTTTCTTTGAATAAAAAATTCATAGTGAAAGGGATCTAGGGATTGTAAGATTGAAAAGATGACTTTTTTGCTTATCATTAATATTTTCAATCATTGAATCTCATGAAATATAAAAATAAAAAATAAAAAATAAAAAGATATTTTCTCTAAATTTTAATTGTTGAAGGTCTAGATTCATCTATGGGGGTAAGTTTTTTTTGTATTCCCCAGGGCATAGCAAAGTCATATAATGGGAAAAGCGTACCTTAATTATGTGCTTTAAATTCCCAACTTGAGATATTATGGGAAGAAACTACAAAAATCCCAAAAAAAGAAGTAAAGCATATATTATGTATATATTTTACGCATTGATATCAAAACTAGACCAAATTGAATGTCTGATTGATGTCCTGATTGGTCTGATCTAGAGTTAAAATTAGGGAAAAAAATTAAAAAGTTGAAACTCCAATTTAAGTAGTTTTAATTGGTCTGATTGATTAGTTTTGATCAGTTGGACTGTCCAAACAAAATCGTCAATTTTTTTTCTAATATATTATATATTTTTAAATATTATTTATAATTTTAATATTTAAATTTTTAATCAATTAATTCAGTTATCGATCAGATTAATTTTGACTAGAGTTAAGCATTCACTAACGCGGCGGTATGATAACATTGATTTTAAGTCAATAATTTTTTTTTTTATTAATGATTATTAAAAACTAATTAAAAAAATCCGGCCTTGATGGTTTGTGACCACACAACGACACCACCACACCTCTTTGGGGAATCTTGGGAAGATATTTGTCTTTTGCTTATGAGTCGTTAAGTTCCGCTTTAATTTAATAGAACGTGTGTTGCATTTACAACCGTTTGATAAAGCCATTACAAATAATTGAACGGCTTATATTACGCTACGCGATGGTTGGGACCGTAACACCGTCTTCTGGCCGTACCCATGTGATTAGAAAGCCACGTCATCGCTGCGTTAAAATGTTATTTTATATTTAAAAAGTAGTTTTGATTTGTTTGTTATTTCTTTTTTTTATTTCTTGTGGGGGACTTGCCGTAAATTTCCGTATGCTGAAGTACCTTTATTAATTAACCACAATTATTCTCAGGCCTCAAAATCCGAAACTTCCCCGAAACTTCTATGAAACTAGTAAAGATGTTAAATGACAATAATGCCCCAGTTTATCAATTTATTGGATGAAATATTTTTCTGTTTTTTTTCTAAAATTTATCGAAATAAATTTAAGGCATGAGCTCTTTAACATCTTATCCATTTTTTTGATTTATTTAAAAAATGCATGATCATGAGTTAGAATGTTAATAAAATATTAAATAGTTGACAAGTTAGATGTATTTTGATAAAAAAAAAAAATTTCTCTTATAAACTAGTTTACATCTTAATGTGTGTGGGTAATAAGAGGTAAGCTGCACATGAAAGAATTATTGAGATCACAACGTTATGAATCTTGTAACAAAATTTAAAGGTGCAAAAGTGATGTACATCCGGCAAATTTATAAGCACTAGACAAACAGATATTCCAGATATTTATAGCTTACTTTTTTTAAAATTTTATAATTATTAAAGACTAAGACATCAACTTCAAAAAATTTTAGAACCAAGACAACATTTTTCAGCGAGATTTGCGCAGCAGCCTTGTAATGCCCTTTTGCATTGCGCAGCAGCCTTGCAATGACCTTTTGCATTAATTTATGCCATTATTCTCACTTGAAGTTCGTTGTATTGTGGGGAAATCCATTATACATATTTCTTTCAAGATTTATAGGGCCTAAAATTTCAAAAAGTATGTGAGGAAAGTACTTCTCTCTCCTCTCATGAGGGCCAGAATTTGAAGAATCAAACCGGCCAAGGGCCGGGTCCGAGTAACTGGTAAATTAGCCGGTTCAATCGGCCTAACCGTGTATGTCCCGGCCGGTCCAAAAAGTGTTAAAAAAATACAAAAATGTGAAACAAATCCAAAAAGATATGAGAAGTATATTTAAAGCATGATCGGACAAAACACATCCAAATGAATTAAAAAAGTAGTGAAAAAATGGATTTTTAAAAATCATTTTGTGCCTTTTTGAATTTTTTTTTAAAAGTTGAGAAAATAAAAATCAAGTATTCATGCCAAACACTTTCCAATCTTTGCCAAAAAGATAAAAATATTCAAAAACACATTACAAAAATTTCTTATTTTTAAGATTTTATATATTTTTGAGTTATTTTTTAAAATACCAGGCCAAAGCTTCAGTGCCTTGTTCCGATTTGACCGGCTGGTTCCAAGCTGGACCGGCCGAGTTTGCGAACACGGGTGAGGGCTTTAAATTGAAAGTTATACATATGGTGAAGCTGGATTATTCAAATTTCCGTTAAAGACCAACAATAGCACCAAAGCCACTTGCCTTTTTCCTTTTTCGGACTAAAGCCAAATGTTTTTATTAATTTTGCTTTGAAACATGAATACTAAGATCAAAGTATTAGTATAATATAACTTGAGCACTCTTCCAAATCAACCATAACCAAAATTTCAATCCTAAGCTTGGAGGTCATGGTTGCAAATTTACCAAGATATCAGGGGCACAATCACCAACCCATTATAATTTTCTTTCACACATAAGCCCTGCCTAGATCAGATTTTCCCTTCATAAACCAGGATTAAGAATCCAAAAAGCCTATCCAAGAAAAGGCATGCCTGTGAAAAGGACCATACTGTACCCCTCTTGCACGCCAAAAGGCTTTAACTGGTTCAGCTTTCATATGATGATTTTTATATATTTTTATCTCTCTCTTTGTCTCTCTTGTGGATAGACCTATTTCTCTCTCTCTCTGGCTTAACTGGTTCAGCTTCATTTGATGATTTATATAAATCTTTTTCTCTGTAGGCTATTTATAAAGCTCTCTCTCCTCTGACTAGGCCATTTATGCCCATCTCTCTCTCCTGACCAGCTGTTTATAAAAGCCTCTTGTCAAGCCTTCTCATATAGGCATAAAATCCTCCAATGTCTAAGGCTTGACCTTGCATTTAGGCCTGGAAAGCCTATGGTTTTGCAGAAAGAAGCTGTTTTTTAGGATCTGATTTCCTCCCTAGGCCTGTTGATTCTCCATTTCTTTCATTTGGGGTTTTACTGAACAGCCTCTGATTCATGAGAGTTTTTAATGGAGATTTAAGGTCTCTGTTCTTCTATTTCTTCCTTGAATTCATGCTTGGAACCTTCTCTTCCTGAGAATTTAGTCGGTGTAGTTTTGTCTTGTGTACAGAATCCTATGAAGGCTTTTGTGCGTGAAAGTTTATGATTTGTTGGCCTTGTGATTATTAATTCGAGGTTTCGAATTACTTGAACTATCTTAGATTCCAATCCTTTAGATAATTCATTTCTTTCTTCATTTTTCATTTGAGTTTTGGAAGAGTTACAGAAATTTTTTTGCATTAGCATTTGGGATCTCTGGTTCATAAAACTTTTTATGCTCTGTGTACATCTTATTCCTTTTCAGCCTTCTCCTTCGAGACTTCATTGAATTTCATTAATCTCGATTGCTTTTTAGGCCTTTCGGTTCCGGTTCTTGTAACTTCAAAGTACTCCTTGCATTTTCTTGTCTTTCTGTGTAATCTCAGGCTTTTCCTTGCTCTTAGTCAGCTAAAATATCCTGAAGTTTTAAGATCTCTGAGGTTTCCTTTTCATTCCTTGTTTACTTTCTTTTCTGGTTTTTAATTCTTCGAAAACTCTAATCCATGCAATTCTGAGGCACACATCAAAAAAGTCAGAGAGATGGGCTCTGTTTCAGGTGCTTTACTCAGTTCTCTCGTCTGGTTTCTTATTAAATCTCGCACAAATTACCCATTTCTGCTCTACATACTGATGCTTCCTTTCTACTTTATTCAGAAGATCGAAAAGAATTGCTCTTGAATGTTGCAGAAGAAGAAGAGTTTCCAAAATTCACAAAGATTAGAGTTCGAGATTTATCGTATAAATCGAGAACAGGGGTTCCAATACTTTCAGGAGTTTGTGTTGATATTTCAAAGGGTTTGATCGTGGGGATTATTGGGCCTAGTGGAAGTGGGAAATCAACATTTCTTAGAGCTCTGAATAGGTTATGGGAGCCACCTTCTGGTGCGGTATTTTTGGATGGTGAAGATATACAAGATATCGACGTTTTGAGCTTAAGGCGAAAAGTGGGCATGCTATTTCAGCTCCCTGCTCTCTTTGAAGGTGTATTATCTCTGCAATCTTCTGTTTTTTTCTCCTTTTGCTGATTTGAGCTCTGAATTAACTCTCAGGGTTGGTTTCAGTCTTACCCGATTTGGTTGAATTTCAAATAAATAATTTCAAATTCAATTCCAGAATTGGTTTGAAAATTCAGAAAAAGTGGCTGAGAATTGGCCTGAGTTAGGGTAGATAAGTAGCCCATGTTTTGCAGAATCGTGTCTGAGATTGTCGGGAAACTGTCTGGTTATTCATTTCGGCTGAACACCGTGGCGAGGATTTCGTCTTGAGTTCGACCAATTTATAGCTGAACTATATCTTTAATTGATCAATTTCGGCAAAAAAGCAATAACTTTTCAGTTTCATGATTCAATTGTTTCTTCCTTAACCATGGCCTTGAAAGAAGCATTCCTTCTTTTACTGATCTACATCTAGTTTTGTCTGCAAATCATTCAGGTATCAGGAAACTCTCTCAAACACAACAATTACATCTGCCTTGTCCTTGTAACTCCGGCTATTCCCACTGGACTCACCCACATTTTCTTGAAGATGGTCTCTATCTGGAACTAATTATAAGTATTTCGTGAACAGGTACAGTCGCAGATAACATAAGGTATGGCCCCTCTCTTATGGGCAAGAAACTATCAGATGATCAGGTCTCAAAGCTGCTGAGCCTTGCAGATTTAGATTCATCTTTAGCTGATAAAAATGGTGGCGAGTTATCGGTGGGGCAGGCCCAAAGAGTGGCTCTAGCAAGAACACTAGCTAATGAACCAGAGGTAAATATATATCTTGCATTATTTGTATCTAAATTTAAAGGAGGCCTACTAAGTCCCTACTAAGTCCAGACCTAAAATTTACAGAGTTTGGATAGTAGTCATTGAACAGGTTCTAAAAACTCTACCAAATTCTCCAAAATTTTGGTTCTGGACTCACTCTTTGAATCCATACTTCCATGGTTTGCAATTCTTGAATTCCCCCATGAAATAATTAATGGGTAAGTTTCCAAATTTTGGTTGTGTTATTCCGGGGTTTCGAAAATTTCATGAAAACTCGAAAATGAATAAATCGGGGAGGACTTTAAAACAATTTTAAAAGAAAAAGAATATGATTTTTAATTTAAACCTCAAAAAATTTAAAATATACCTCGTTGTTGCAAATTTATGACGTGCAGTTACCTCATAAAACGTGTTCAACATTGGAGCACGCAGATTTATTTTTTTCAATATAGTTGTCGTAAAAAAACAATAAATATGGTGAAACATTTCAAATTATCAATTTTTTTTTGTAAATGAGGTGTTTATATCAGTTTTGTCATGATCGGACGGGCACTAAACCAATCAGGAGTCAGGTATATTTAAAACCGATATAATTTCTACAAAGTCAAATTTAAAATAAAATAAAAGAGAAATAAAAATAAGAAAAAAAAATTACATTGGCCGAGGCTCTAAACAATCAAATTAGAGCCTGATATTAGTTTTGGTTTGAAAAAAAGTAGCCCTGATATTAGTTTTGGTTCGAAGCTTTTAAAGTATTGTGGTAATAGAAATGCATAGAAGTACCTTGATACTTTAAGAGCTTCAAATCAAAGCTAATATCATGACTATCTTTTTTAAAAAAATCTATATTATCATGGGAGCACGATGTAGATCTATTCTCTCGCTCAAAAACACCTATTTAATTGTGTTTTCGTTTTAAAATTTTGAGAATTATATAAAAATTATGTAGATATTATATCTTAAAAATTTGAGATTTAAAAAATTATAACTAACATGGATTTTTGTCGAGTAAATAAATAGTAGACTCGAAAGAGTAAAAAATCTTTCATGTTGAGTTGAACAATATTACGGTACTGAAATCACTGTAATACTCTATTCTATGTTATTACCGTAAATAAAATACTATAATAAATATTTGTATTATTACGGTAACGGTATTTTAATTGCCGTAGTAGTCGCATTGCATTACGGTGAAAAGACCACCATTGAAAAATGCTGAAAATTGGGAAAAAAAAGATGTGGGCTATGTTTTGTAAAGTTGGAGATTCTTTTACGATTTTTTTAAAATTAAAATATATTAACGAAAATTAAACCATATTAAAGTCAATGCATCAACTCTTTGCTTTTATCCAACGCAACGCATAGACAAATGTGATACTGTGTTGACTTGACCGGTTGATTTGGGCAGGTTATAAATCAATGCCCATTATTTAATGCTGTGTACGGACTCAACAAGTCAAAAGATCACCTACACCACTAATTAGCTAATCAGCCTCCTCTAACATTGATTAAAATATTGTAATTGCAGTATACGGATTTCGTACTTGAATATCATATTTATCAAAACCTGCTAGAACATTCTATACCTTGTTTAAAAGTAAAATGAATTTTGAAAGATGCAAATGCTGGAAACTCCTGTTATGGTTTGAAAATCTATATTTATATTTAATTATAAAATTAAAATTTTACAAAATGTGTGAATAAAGTAGATTTATAAACACAAAAAAATTTTAAAAATTGATGATTTAAATAGTGTATTACAAGATACATTACTTTTAAGATTTGAAATTGTATATATTTTTGAAAATCTATATATCTCAATGTTGAGATAATCAATTGGAGGGTTTTCCAATATCGAAATGATCTTTTTCGCTTGATTTTTTCATCGCGCCCTACTTCTACAAAATATGGTCCGCATGTTATATAAACTTTTTTCGTTATAATATATACTTAATATTATTAATATGCACTTATATAATATATGTCATCTATATAATGAGGTTGTTTAGATGAATAAGTGGTAAGACTAGAAATAATAGAATTTAAAATGAATACATTTGAGAGAACATAGCCGTAGGCCTAATAGGAGATAAAATGAAGGACAATATATTTAGGTGATCCAGTCATGAACTTCGTCGACTTAGAACAATGCTGATTACGAGGCTTGATTTGATTCACGTGGAAGCCTTGTAAAAAGTAACAAAAAGGCCCCGAAGGACATGGATGAAAGTAGTGAGAAAAGAGATAGTGGCTTACAGTTTGATTACAGGTATGACACTTGATAGAGTGAAATGGCATAATAGGATCCATGTAGCTGACCACAAATAGCTGAGAGAAAGCTTGGATGATAATGATGATGATATTAATGTATACGGGTTTGCATCGGGTCTGGTTGACCTCAACACAGACACGACCTAACCCGACAAGATCTAAGCTGGATAAGGACTTAGACCTGACCTAAGTCGGGTCAAGGTCAAACAGACCCAGACTCAACCCTTCGAGTCCAAAATCTAGGTCTGGACCCCAACCAGTCTCCTCAAGTCCACCCGGCCCAATTCCTATAACAAGTGTTTCAATGCCAGGAACATCGTTTTGCATGGCAGTTTTGCCAAATGCAGTAAAGCCGCAACTCTGTAAAAACCGCACCCATATTATCCTTGGTATTGTGGAAAAACCATAATCCTTATGGTTATCACCATCCGTTTAAATGATGAACAATGATCAATTGACATGTTCCCTATCATTCAATGGTCATGAAGCTGAGGACTATGTTTTCTATTGGCCCTTAGGATTATAATATACATTATAACATATACTTCTCTTCATTTGAGGAATTATGCACCACCAGTGTATAGTGTATGATACACGCACCACTCATTCTATTATTGTTGAACTCCAATTCTACTTTTGTTTTTCCCAAGGTGTAAAACATCTATCTTAAAGATGGAGGCAAATAGACAGGTCTTTCGAAAAAATTAAAACCAATAGTTTAAGTAGTTTCTTCACATAAATGTTATTTTTTATTTTTAAAATATTTTTTACATATAAATGATATCTATGTTAAAGATTATATATTCTTATAAAATTAGGTCCAAAATAAATCTCAAATATAGAATTTCAAGAGAGGACTCATTTCTCTATATGAATCATAGGACTCATAGATACCATGTCCATTATCAAATTACCCATAAGAGATACACAATTAAATACTTTACCCATATTTTTCAATTGAATTTCAAAATATACCCATGAAACAATACATGATCTTGGGTTGGAATAATTACAAATAGTCATAATGTTAAATAGCTCATCTCACATGGGTAGTTTGATAAATTTCCCTGTGTATGTGTGTGTGCATGCACATGGAAATTTAAATATTTCATTCAATAAGACTATCTATATACAAGAACAAAAGAGACATACACAATTCTACGAACTATTGAGGGATTAAATTTATGAGCTGCACTATGAAGTTGTCGGAGAGAGTAGTTAAGCAACGACTAAAGCATGAAACGAGTGTATTAGAAGGTCAACTACTGAAGCTATTTTTCTGCTCATACAACTAATTTAGAAGTTTAGAGCGAAGAGAAGAGACCTGCACATAGTATTTATTGATTTATAAAGAGCATATGATAGAGTATCTAGAGATTTAATTTGGTGGGTGTTGAAAAAGAAAGGGGTTAATAAATGCTATATTGACATAGTAAGAGAAATGTACGAGGAAGTATTAACTAGTGTGTGAGCAACTAGTAGAGAGACAAGTGAGTTCTCAGTGACAATGTGCTTATATCAAAAGTCAATATTGAGCCCCTATCTCTTTGTTTTGGTAATGGACGAGTTAACCAAGCACCTACAAGATGAAGTGTTGTGGTGTATGTTATTTACGGATGGCATAGTTTTGATCGACGAGGCTAAATGCAATGTCAACGCAAAGTTAAAACATTGGAGAGATGCTCTAGACCCTAAAGGTTTTAAAATTACCCAAACTTAGACAAAATATATGGAATGCAAGTTTAGTAATAATAGGATTAGAAATGAAGAAATAATTAGATTGATAGTCAAGAAATACCGAAAAGAGATTGTTTCTGATATCTAGGGTTGATAGTCGAGAAGAATGGAGAGATTGAGGAAGATGTCGTGCATAGAATTAGAGCTAGATGGAGAAAGTGGAAATGTGCATCCAGAGTGTATGTGATCGATGCATACCATTGATATTGAAGGGAAAGTTCTGTAGGACGGTTGTAAGACCAGCCATGCTTTATGGGACGGAATGTTTGGCAGAGAAACAACATATCCATAGGATAAGCGTAGCTGAGATGAGGGTGTAGAATGAATACATATGAGAGAACTTAGATGTAGCTTCAATAGGCGATAAGACGAGGGAAAATAGATTTAGATAGGTTGATATATGTAGCATAGACCTAATGCAACACCGGTTAGGAGGTGTGATTTGGTTCAAGTAAAAGACTTTAAAATGACAATGGGAAGGCCCAAAAAGACATGGATAGAAGCAGTAAGAAAATGTATGGTGACTTTTGGTTTTACTGAGGATATAGCCTTTGATAAAGAAGAATGGGAGAATGAGATTCATGTAGCTGACCTTAAATAATTGGGATAAGGATTGGATGATGATAATGATGATCTATTTTCTAACCCCCAAGAGAGAAAATTTCATTAGCAAGCATTTAGAAAGACTGAACCGTGTCAGCAAATCCCTGTGGGGACATTTTAAGATCTCATTTTTCAATCAGAATTAAAAAATAGTCCGTTGTGTTTTATATTTAACACTCGAATCCTTATTTTTGAGGGTCCATACTGTATTTTAATTTTATTTTGTATGCATAAGATTAAGATCAAATTTTTGGTGTCTAAACTTCTCACCATATATTCTTAAAAATATTTCAAAATTCAATAAAAAAAATGGTTGATAAGTTTTAAGGGTATTTTGGTTATTTTATTTTTTTCAAATTATTATGTTTTGTACTTTGTACAATTGCGTGATGGTGAGAGGCATGGACCCCACGAATTTGAGGTTAACATGATGTATTAAAAAAAATAGAATAAAGTACAACCTCTTTAACATAAAAGATCTGAACACTCTACCCTTGCAGCTTACTTCTAATTAATTCTTGTCCATGGTCAATGGCAAAGGGAAAAATATTGCATAAAGCATAAATCATCACATGAAGATACTATCATAATCTTAGGCCTAATTGAGCATTAAGAGTATCATTGATCCATTAGGGCTAAAATTTCAGGAGTGGGAAAAAATATGCAGAGTATTGAACACTTTGAACCTTCTGTTTTACAGGTTTTGCTCTTGGATGAGCCAACAAGTGCTCTTGACCCAATATCAACTCAAAACATAGAGGATGCCATTGTGAAGCTCAAGAAGTCTCAGGGCCTGACCACTGTTATGGTTTCTCACAGTGTCAAGCAAATACAACGAATTGCGGACCTGGTTTGCCTCCTAGTGAATGGTGAGATTGTCGAGGTTTTGAAACCTGAAGATCTTTCAGATGCGAAGCATCCAATGGCACGAAAATTCCTCGAGATTAGCTCTTGATAAATCAAAAGAAATGGGTAATTGAAAGGATGGTCACGAGTGCATTGTTGGTTTTATACCAAGTATGAACTTTTCACTGAAAAGTTTGATAGTGTAGGGAGCAAAGTTGTTTTTGTGAATCAGACTAGCTAGTTTCTCCAATTAGTGGGCTCAAATTCTTGGAGATTTTGAAGTGTTGAATTCCATAAATGGGAGTTTCTTGGCAGAGTACAAGGTGTGATGATTTAAATCAGGGCCATGAATTGGTCCTTTTGTGAAACAAAAGCAATCAATAAGCCAGAAAGTGTTTGTGTTATTTTTACTTGAAAGAAACCTTTTGTGACCATACACAACTTAAATTCAAATGTGGAAGTCTTTTTTTTTTTTTTTGGAATAAATCAGTGGGGATGATGAGCCCTTACCCGTTTTATTGCCAAACAATGGAAGGTCCTTGAAGGTAGGCAGGAAAATTCAACTTTGCACTATTACATGTTAAAATAGTTGGGTCTGGGTCGGGACTCAACTTGCCAGGGTTCGGGGCCAACCTAGATCAGACCCCAATCATGCACATATCAGGGTGACGCGACCTGGATAGGTTTGGGATGCACTCGAACTTGGGCTTGACCCAGTGGGTCTAATTTTGAAGTCCAGACCAAAACCCCATGTCAGGTCGACCTAACACCCCTGTATTAATTTCCAAAGATACAACTTTAACAAATTCGTTTTGGGTGATATGGAGAGGCATTGCCAGTGCGAGCTTGTCTTAGGTACTATCTATAATTCACACCGGATTTAAATGCTTTACTCTTAGATTCCTTAATCAAAATTTGGGCCTGTACAATCAGCTTTAAGACTGGATGATATCATTCATAGCTTCTAAAAAGAGAAAATTTTCTTTTAAATGTACATAATTTACTAGTCCTCGGATAATCTAAAAATGCCGAAAAGGGTTGTATACTATAGGGCTATTTACCTTTGATACAAGCTGCTTATGTTCAGTTGTAGTTATCAGATGTGAAATCACTTTAGTTATCAGATGTGAAAATCAAGCTCCTAGAATTGTGTAAAATGGTTTGATCAGTGGTTTAAAAAACAGATCGGTGACCCTAATCGGGCATCCCAAAAATCGATCTGGATTTGTGAATCAGCGATCCAGATCGGGAATCGGGCCAAATCGCTCAGATTAAGCTTTTAAAAAATTCAAAAAAATTATTAAAATTCATTATAAATGTTTTTTAGGAATCCAATAAGAAATGAGGGTCCTACATTATTAACTTTCATTGTTTTCATCAATTTATTAATATTGAGATGTTATTTCCCTGTATGAACTTATATTGACTATTAAATTTACTGCACACAAAAGAAATCATAGAATTATCATGGATTAAGTATATAATCATATATGGACTACAATAAAGAGTTGACTAAATCAATGAAAACTTGGCCACTAAAATCTCGAACTGACGGAAAACCCTAATCCACTAAAAAGACCCAAATTATTACAACCTAACTAACTATAATATTATATACCAACAACATTTTATAATTATTTT